ACGCGCTCTGATGTCATACGATCAATGTCATAACATTCAGTCATGAAATTCAGCTTCACTTACTCATAGCTTTCCTTGCATAACGCTCTTTATGTATGTCCTAACATCAATTATGACATTTACTCATACATTAATATTTTGCTATAAAATGCAGCCAATCAAAAGCACTTACACATATCATGTCTCTTATCCTGAGCATCAAACGAACCCTAAAAATGTAGCAAATAATGTGAATGGCCAACGATTGAGTTTGCTAGAGTTTGGCGAGATTATTAAAGTGTAAATATTTACTAGCTTATTATTTTATGAAGTTTCAAGTTAAATTCGTTCGAAAATAAGTTAATGAAACTACTCATGCTTTGACACACCATCATACCCCAATTTTGTCATACCTATACAATATTACACTCATTTATATGCATATAACTATTTCATTTAGTTGTTTTCCAAATTCTCACCAAGGTCACCTTTGTATTCTATCTTGGTATCTTGGGTCATATGCCTGGTTCCTTTGTAACTAGGGTTATTTCTTTTTATTGCATCATTATATAGTATTCATACCATCTAACCATTGTGCATACAAAATATGATACATCTGCTTCTCATTTGTGTTCATCAGGTGTGGAGAGTTGAATTAAGAGGCACATGGTTTCATTCAAGTCCAATAAGGTTTACATGATCATTCTTTCTCAAGACAAGTTTACTTTGGTCCATGATGGATCTATTTTACCAAAGAAGCTTCAAATGTTAATTTTGGGGCCACTATTGCTTAAGTGATGAGAAATTTGGATATCATCCATTCATGGTTGAGTTTTAAGTTTGTTCTAGATGGAACCAAGCCAATTTTATCCCTTGTAAATTTGGTTTCTAGTGAAGAATTCAAACATGGTGTGAAGTGATTTCAACAAGGTGCTATATTGATTTTGGATGCAAGATTCAAAGTGTCGTGCCATCCTTGTCACCAACATGATGCAAAACCATTCATTTGCATATAATGCCATTTGAATTCCAAAGCATACAACCATACAAGCTAATCATGAATACAAGGATCAAAATTTGAAAGTCATGAGCAAATCAAGATGAATATTGTTATACAAGTTAATCATATGAACATTTAGTTTATCCTAATCAAATACATCATCCAAGCATAATGACTAAAGAATACACCATGAAAGTTTGAGCCAAAACAAGCAAGTGTGCCACACAGGTTCGTTTTTCCTCCATGAGCATACCATCATCTTCCATGAGCCAAAGTGAAGATACATCACGAGGTTTCCATAATCAAATAACAACATCAATTCACGAGTTAAAAGCTTTACAAATGAACAAGTTGTCTCTTGTTATCATGAAATCAAAAGTGAGTAAGGTTAAGTTCAAAACAGGGACTTATGCAAGATGAAGATGTGTGTGGACATGGAAATCTGCAACAACACCAATTAAAACACGACCAAGGTTGCACATCCCACCAAATAACCAAGTCCAATTGGAAGGCATGTGCAAAATTAAAAATACAAATTGAAACAATCTTATAAGAAAGGAGGGGGAACCACCAACATGTGCTCACTTATTTTGGGGTGGATTTGCACAAGAATTTAAGCTCAGCACTTGATTCATACAACCCATAGCAGAATTGTAGTTTTCACTCACTCCAAACCATTCCCTAAAACGACCTCATCACTGCACTATATAAGTTGGACTCATTCACACAATTTAGGGATCATGTTTTCACTCAAATTTTCTCTCATCACTCTCTCTGTTGCAAGTAGAACAATTCACGTTCACTCTAAAAAAAGCAATAACAATTTATACACATAAGCAAAACAAAAATAACAAAATTCAAGAAGCTTACTCTCACACTCTATGCTTCATCACTTACAATAATACACTGCTTCATCACTCAAAATAATACACTGCTTCATCACTCACAACAATGCTCAAATTCAATCACAACACTACTCAAAGTTTACATGACATAGCGCCCTTTTAAGACCAACGCAAGCATAGTAACAACAAAAAACACGCGCACATAAGAGTAAGGAGAAGAAACAAATCGAAGCTCATGCCTGAACATTTGTTGGAATTCGATGTACATCATTCAGTTCTCTCTTTTCCTTTGCAATTTCCATTTATTTTTTGTCCACTACCTTGTAATCTATGAGTAATAATGGATTGGGGTTGGGATTAATTTGGGGGATTATGGTTTTGTTTGATTTACTTGTTGAGATCATAATAGTAGAGAATTGAGAGAGACCAAGATTATTGTTATTTTACAACTAGGTGAGAGGATCATTTTGAGGTTTCGTGTTGTTTACTTACACTATTTTCCGCACGAGGTGGATTCAAAGGAGAGGAACACATGAAGCTTATGTTTAAACATGTGAGGCTGATTATTTCTTTTGGACCATGTTGTGTTGCCTTGGGCTCAACCCAATCTGAGGTGCTTTTTACACCCTCACACACGCGTGACACTCCCATGGTCTTGGTTTTGGTTTGAGTTTGGGCATTGTTTCTCATTAAGCCCATCTAATGGTTTTTTGCACCCTTGCTGCACCATTATACCTCCATCTCAAGTTTGTCTTTATTTTCTTTTTACTTAACTTCATTTTTATATTGCAATTTCTTTAATTCCGTGATTTTATGTTTCTTTTATTTTCTCCTTGTTCAATTAATTTTTCTATTAGAGGATAATTGTTTTTTTTTACTCATTTTGACTCTTTCTCTTTTAATTTTCTCATTATGTTACATGTTTTAGGATAATAACTTTGTGTTATTTCTCTAACATGTTTGAGCATATAAATTATTATTGACCGACCTCAAATAGGTGTGGCTTCTACATAAGTCGACTTACGATTGCTTAACATTGCGCTAAATTGTTCCGATGCGATTAATTAATCATTCGATCACTAACCTCTAACTACTACCTTCTAATTTCTAATTTTTACTTTCTTGCACTTTATTTTCTTGCCATTTACTTTTCGCAATTTACTTTATCACTCTTTATCATTCATTTTATTTCATGCACTTTACTTTATGTCATTTTCTTATTCTTTGATCTTTATTCTTCATCTTGTTAAAACAAACCAAAAACATGATAAAATGAAAAAGACCTAAAAAATTTGTGAGACATAAATAGACAATTGAAATTTGAATGACCTTAGCATCATGAAGTTATGGACTTTGATTGACCTTAGCATCATGGAGTTTTGGACTTAATGTGTGACCCTAGCAAAAGGAGACTTGGACTTGGATTCTTTATTTGTATTAACTTAGGACACCTTGTACACACACAACTTTCTCTTGAGCTACCTGACAACGAGACCTTTTATTTCTCGCATCGATTTCCCTTGTATTTTTCATGTATCCCTCTCCCTTTTTGACGTACTTTCTTTATTTCTTAATTTCCTTTGGTTTGGTTTTGCTTGCTATCTATGCTTAGGGACTAGAATTGACCTCACCATTTTCTCAAGCACTTGATCCAACGTCAAACATCATTTTCTCAATAAAATCCTTAATCCAATGTCAAGTGTCATTTTTCCCAAATAAACTCAAAAACATGTTAAAATATGATTAGAATTGCGCGCCACGAGCCTTAAGTGGCGGAGAAGGAGTGAGAATTGAGCTTTTCTACCGTCACTTTGAGTATTTTGGACACGAGACGCTTGACTTGGTAGTTTGAAATATTCACCATTACCTATAGCCTTTAGTGCAATTCGAGTAAAAAATAACCTCAACTCATCAAACTCTCTTTCTGCGCCTTATGACATCACTCAGAAAATTCTTTTTCAAGGTAAAATAAATCAACAAACCGTAGTCTCTCCGAACTACGGAGCTATGAGGATACGTAGGCACAAGAATGCGAGATCTTAACGAACACACTAATAAAAAACCTTAATTTTCCCCCTGTTGAGACTTCATTTTTTTTCTTTTTAATCTTTTAACCACTTGAAGAAAGCAAATAAATATGAACTAACATTCAATCACAAATCTAACTAAGAGGTTTCCTTTGAGGACAACCGACGTGAGAAGTGTTAATACTTTCCTCTTGCGTAATTGACTCCCCAACCTGAATATAGTTGCGACGACCATTATTCTGTTTTAAAAAGTTTTATCAATATTTTCATATTCCTTCACTAAGATAAATAAAATTCGATAACAACTTTATTCGAACTAATTTTTTCTGCAAACATCGCAAAAAATCGTATTTTTTGAAGTACTGACGCACATGATTATATCTTTTTTTGATATCTCACCATGTATTAAATAGTTTCTTATTAATGATATGAATTAAATGATATATAAGTATCTAATTAATTTCACAATTTTTAAAATGGGGGCATTTATAAATTTACATAGTATAAATATTTAATTAATTTCATCCATTTTTAAAATGTGTGCATTTATATAGTTTATATAGTATAAAAATTTAATTAATTCCATCAATTTTTAAAATCTATGCATTTATATCATTTATGCACACCAAAATTATAACAATAGACACTTTCATTTATTTTAGGAAATAGAGAGGAAAACTTTCTCATTTTTGACACTCACAATTTGTGTGAACCTTACTTAACTTGAAATTTTTTGTTTTTGTGCTGTCATATTCAGATATTTTTGATTTAGTTTACCTTGTTCCGCCGCTATAAATTTTCCAACTCACCAAGATTCAACGACTCTAAACAAATTTTAACAATATATATATTAAATTGTTAGAATTAAAATAAAAAGTCAGATTCGAATTTTTTTTCCTCATATAAATCGATAAAGCCAAAACGAGGTCGTCACGTCCCAAGCAAAAGTGTCGTTGTATACCCTGTGATTTGAGCAGTAAACAGCGCACTCACCGCATCTACTTCCCATTTCCAAAAAGCAAAAGAGAAAGAAAAGAACAAAGTGAGAACAAAAACACACACTTAACAGAAGCGAAGCTAGTAATAATCAACGCAGAGAGTTTCGAAAATTGCGAAGCGCTTTTAGGAAAATCGATTCTGGAGTCGGAGATGGAGATTTCGACTCCTAACTCTTCCAAGCCGCTGTCCATTACACCACGGTCTAGGGTTTTGAGAAGCCCGCTCTCCGATGATCAGATCTGGAAACGCTTGAGGGACGCGGGTTTTGACGAAGAATCGATTAAACACAAAGACAAGTCTGCACTTGTAGCTTACATCGCTAAGCTTGAAGCCGAGGTTCGGAAATTTCTTCTTCTTTGTGTGCCTTTCTTTTTCACTGTAATTTTTCACTGTAATTTATCTGATTTTTGAATTGGGGGAATAGTGTTTTTAGTTAATGTTTTCTCTGTGAGATGATTTATTGATGATTCATATGAATAATTTGAGATGGATTAGTTGATATTGTATAGATCATAGATAGTGATTAGCTTCTTGTATTGCTATGATCAAATAAAATCATTGTTTGAAACTTTAGAGTATTCGTGGGAGCATAGCCATTTGTCCCTTTATAGAATGGTTTGAATTGTGTGTTTAAAGGTGTAATTTGATTTGAGAAATCGGCAGTGCAGTGCTTCAAAATCAGCTTTAGTTAGAAACTCAACTTTGGTGGTTTGGACACGTAGAGAGAAGAGAGAAGACCTTTAGCTTATGTAGTAAAGAGAGTATATTCATGTTTATTTGATAGAATAGAACATTGCGAAATAGAGGAAAACCTAGAAAAACTATAAGAAAAACTATTAAGAAAGATCTAGAGATAAATGAGTGTGATAGAGAAACATGTTATTTGATAGAATATAACATATGACGTCGTTTGAACCATGTAGCTGACCGCACTTAATGGGATAAGGTTGGGTTGCTGTTGCTGTTGTTGATTGATGTTTATTCAGCTTAATTTGCTTTGACTCTATATATGACTCACATGTATGGTAAGAATAACCTTGATTTAGTTTTTGTGATCAGTTCACTTGCAAGGTTGGTTTAGAAAATTGAGTTGATACTGAATTTGCTAGAATTGTAAAATAGTTTGTTATCATACAAACCAATAATCATCTTCCACCAATCAAATTGCATTTTCAAGTGGATACTTTGTGAAAGGTTTATGAGGTGTTTCAATTTTGTAAGATACATGAACATTCTTTATTGGTGTCAGAAAAATTTATTTTTTCTTTCCTGCTTTTCATTGTTTCTGACTTTAACATTTTATGCAGATTTATGATCATCAGCATCACATGGGCCTTCTCATATTGGAGAGAAAGGAATTGGCTTCCAAGTATGAACACACTAAAACCTTGATTGAATCATCTGAGTTAATGCATACCCATGATTCATCCATGAATAAATCTGCATTAGCTGAATCAAGAAAACGGGAAGAATCTTTGAAGAAGACAATAGGCGTGAAAGATGCATGCATAGGAAGTGTAAGCTTCTTGAATAATATCCACCCTTGCAAAACCATATATTCTATTTTCCATTCCATTTTCTTATTCAAAGTTTTAGAGAGCATTTTTATTGCTTTTTGTAGCTTGAGAAGGCCTTGCATGAGATGCGTACTGAATGTGCTGAAACAAAGGTTGCAGCTGAGAGTAAATTAGCTGAAGCACACCAATTGATAGAAGAAGCTCAAAAAAAGTTTACGGACGCTGAAGCCAAAGTGTGTGCTGTAGAATCTTTGCAAGCAGATGCTACTCGATATAACAATGTTGCAGAAAGGAAGCTTCGTGATGTTGAAGCACGGGAAGATAACCTCAGGCGGCAAATTATATCTTTCAAGTCAGAGTATGTTATTTTTATAATATCATTCTTATAGTATAATTAATAAGTGAATTCATGTGATCTTGAGCAAGCAGGTGATCTTAATTCACCTTTAATGATATAAAATTTTGATAGGTCGATGTTTTCAGGATGTATGTTGATATCTCTTTCTTTCCCTTCTGTCACAGTTGTGATGAAAAAGATAAGGAGCTGAATCTTGAGAGGCAGTCCCTCTCTGAAAGGCAGAAGGTTTTGCAAGAAGAACATGAAAGGTTACTTCAATCGCAGTCCTTGCTCAACCAGAGAGAGGGTCATCTTTTTAGTAGATCTCAGGAACTAAATCGTCTTCAAAAAGAGTTGGAGGACACGAAGTTTAAAACTGAAAAGGAACATGAGGCCCTCCATGAGAAGAAAACCAGCCTAAAACTACTGGAGGCCACTCTTATACAACGAGAAGAGGTTCGTATCTGAAAATTCTCAGTTGGGTTAAGATGGAACTGTTACTAAGTAGTTTTTAATTTCTGTCTTGTTCACCTGTGGGTATGTGTTTGTCAAAACAGGCACTCACCAAACGGAAAACCGAGCTTGACAAGAAAGAGAAAGAGTTGCTCGAATTTGAAGTGAAACTTTCTAATAGAGAATCTGTATGTTCTCTTCTTATGCTCAATGATTCGCTTTAATTTTTCAGACTTTCTTTGTATCAATCTTATTTTAACTTTGTTGAATGGAAAATGTAGGATGAAACTCAGAAGGTTATGGCAGATCAGGAAGCCACATTGAGAACAAGAAAACATGATTTGGAAGTTGAGCTACAAATGCAGCGCAAATCGGTTGAATATGAAATTGAGACAAAGAGACGGGCTTGGGAATTAAAGGAGGTTGATCTTAAACAACGGGAGGACCAAATCCTTGAAAGGGAACATGAGTTGGAAGTCCTGTCCAGATCACTGACCGAAAAGGAGAAAGACCTAGTGGAACTGTCAACTTCTCTTAAAGATAAAGATCAAAGCCTTAGATCTGCTGAGAAGGAGTTTGAATTAAACAAAACTATTTTGCAAAAGGAGAAAGATGATATTAAACAAGCTAAGCAAGATCTGCAGGAGTCTTTGACATCTTTGGAAAATGAAAAGAAACGAGTTGATGACACAAAGAAGAGATTGGAGGTCATCCAAAGTGAAACAGGCGACTTATCAGTTTTTGAAGTGAAACTAAAGGAAGAGATTGATCTTGTAAGATCTCAGAATTTGGAGCTTTTGGATGAGGCTGATAAGTTGAAAGCTGAAAAGGCCAAGTTTGAAGCTGAGTGGGAGCTTCTTGATGAAAAAAAAGTTGAGTTGCGAAAAGAAGCAGAATTTATAGAAAATGAAAGGAAGGCGGTTTCCACTTTTATTAAAAATGAGCGTGACAAGCTAAGAGAAGAAAAAGAAAATTTGCGTAATCAGTACACCCATGACTTGGGGTCACTTGCTAATGAACGGGAAAATTTCATGAAGAAGATGGCAGATGAACATGCTGAGTGGTTTGGCAAGATGCAGCAGGAGCGAGCAGATTTTCAGCGGGATATTGAGATGCAAAAAAGGGAGCTGAATAACCTCATTGAGAAGAGGCGGGAAGAAGTTGAAAGCTATTTGAAGGAAAGAGAAAAGGCTTTTGAGGAAGAGAAAGATAGGGAACTCCGGTGTGTTGATGCTCTTAAAGAGAAAGCAGCAAAAGAATTGGAACAAGTTTCCTTGGAGATGAAAAGGCTTCAAACTGAGCGTACTGAGATAAGTTTGGATCGTGAACTAAGAAACAAAGAATGGGCTGAATTAACTGACTGTATTAAAGAACTCGAGGTTCAAAGAGATAAACTACAAAAACAGAGAGAACTGTTGCATGCTGATAGAATTAAAATTTATTCTCAGACTGAAGAACTGAAAAAGTTAGAAGACTCGAAAGTTGTCTCTGATGATCTTGCTATTGTTGAAATGCTGAAATCTGATATGGAGTATAACCTACAGAAAATGTCTTCAAGGAAAAATTTGAAGTATCAGACTCCTACACAAGGCCGTCTGAGCAAGGACTTGGATGTTGATAGCATCAGCAATGAGTTAGGTACTCCATTTGTGCAGAATTCATCAGGTGTTTCTACTCCTAGTGCGGCTCGATTCTCATGGCTAAAACGATGCACAGAACTAATATTCCGAAATTCTCCTGATACGCCACTCATGAAAAAAGAAAATCTGCCCCTGCTTTCTGACAAAACTGATGTTAGTAATGGGCAAACACACTTGGATAATGACAAATCACTTGGTAATTTTAGCAATGGACAGCAAATGGAATTTTCTTTTGGAGAACCAAAAGTAATTGTTGAAGTACCATCTCGAGATGGAAATGCTAGTAGATCAAGTGAGTTCGAATCTGTAACTAAAGATGTTAATGGGAAAACTGCTTTTTCAGATGAACGCCAAATGGGCAGAGGGAAAAGAGGCAGGGGGAACTTGATTACTAAAGTTGGTGATCCACTTGTAGATGTTGTGCAGAATAAGAAACCAAGAGCAGAACAAATGGCCAAAAATCCTTTAGATCAGGGCACTACCTACTGGTACAAATTCGCCCTCCTGAAACACATTTTTAGCATATTTTTTATGGATTTGTTTCATAAACACGGACTGTGTAAATGTTTTTTACACTGTCAGTCAATCATCACCGTTCAATTATGAAAAAAATTTGACTTTCATCATATTTTCTTAATGCTGAATTGTGATTGGTTGACTGTAAAATGTTTTACACCAACAATATGTCAATTTATTTTTCTTAAGTTTTTAAAAAGGCCAAGTTTATTGATATAATCCAAAGAAAGAACAATTGGTGCTACATTTGTCCCCAAAGACCCAGTGCACATTTATTTTTGAGCATATAGGTAGTTTTACTTTAGTAATATATGATTCATAAGTAGTTTAAGTGCCATATGGACTCAAGTTTTTTATTGATTTTGTTTTCAGTGTGCTTTCAACCCAGTCAGATATATCAGAGATTCAGCAGGCGTCAACGACTTCAAATCATAAACAAGGGAACACTGAAGAAACTCGTGTAGTAACGATTGACAAGGTAATTCATGTTTCAGAAGTTATTTCTGAGAAAGTTGATACTATCGGCATTCCCAATCAAGAACCTGGAGATAGTTTGCAGAGTCCCACGATGGGAGAGTGTCAATATAAACTTCACAGAGAAACTAATGATCAATCAAATTCTAGTGCATTGGAAAACAAAGAAGGAATATGCAAAGAAAACAATGAACATATTTCTTTCTGAATACGGTTAGGTATTCACAACTAGTTCTGCTTCTACTTATTGGTATTTCATTTCTAGACTAAGGTAACCTCAAAACTTGTTGTCTTTGTTCTTTTTCTGCTTAAACTCCTCTCAGTTCTTAATGCAGGTTTTCTTTGGCTGTGTACAGGGACTATGGACGCGAGCATTGGTACTGAAAAATTAGTTGGTTAAGACATTAAATATATATATTAGGAGTGTGTGGTGCGTGTCAATACTAAATCATGTCTAGCCGTAAATTCCTCTATACTTTTTCTCACATTCAATTTTACTTAATGTTACATTTAGAAATATGGCGTATTGATCGGCTTTATTTCTTCTTGCAATGCAGGATATCATTTGTTGGTTTGTTGGAGCTGGTTATTTGTCTATACTATAGATAATTGGTGATATCTGTTTTGTATATACATCTAATGGATGCAGTTGCAAATTGCATTTAGGATGAGGGTAGAGTGCTTATATAATGTTTTCATGAAATCAGAATGTTTCGAACTCCAAAAAGAATGGAGATAGCTAGAAACATCATATCGGTTTTCTGATTTGATGAGTTCTTTCTCAATGGTATTTTTTGGTCGCTTTCAAATCAAATTTGCTTTTGGCACAATGCTGGGTTTCATTGTGTAGACATTGATAGTAATTTTACGGCTCCGTACGCACGGTGATCGGAATAGTGTTTGATTGTTTTTGGTTAGAGTCATAAGTATCTGAAGCTCTTGTATACATTTTGCTGGTTCTTACTATGCGTTTGTATTATGTTAATGGTTGGATCACTAAATGTTAATTTGATAGTGTTAAACTCTAAATAATAATTAGGAAACGCAAGTATGAAATTCAATAATCACTGAATAGTTTTGTTAGTGTATTGTAAGTTAAGGGTTAAATCTGCTTTTTATTTGTGAAAAATCTTGTTTACGCCGCATTGATGAGTCATAAGTATCTGAAGCTCTTGTATACATTTTGCTGGTTCTTACTATGCGTTTGTATTATGTTAATGGTTGGATCACTAAATGTTAATTTGATAGTGTTAAACTCTAAATAATAATTAGGAAACGCAAGTATGAAATTCAATAATCACTGAATAGTTTTGTTAGTGTATTGTAAGTTAAGGGTTAAATCTGCTTTTTATTTGTGAAAAATCTTGTTTACGCCGCATTGATGAGTACCATACGGATGATTCCAGACTTGGAAGTTGAATATTGTATTTTTATTAAAAAAAGCTCATTGAAGTTTTCATGATTTGAGGGAAAATAGTTATGGGATGAGTTACGGTTTAGTTAGTAAAAAGTAGGGCATAGTCGTTAAAACTTGTTTATAGCCGATATTTATCGGGGACAAATTTTCTAATTGAGTCTATAGTATTTAGTAAAAATAATGGTTAAACTAGTTTATAATACTATAAGATAAAGATAAATAATTGTAAGTTTCTTCATGTTTGATATTTTGATGAAGAGACCATCATAGGGAACTCACACGAGATGGTTAAAGTTCTTGACATCATTTGGGAGACTAATCCAGGATTAGGTCTTGAATTGTATATTCATAAAATTAAAATCATTTGGCCTTCAAGTGATAGTAAAATTTGTGGGGAGTTGTTTTTAGACATTGGGAGATTGAAGTTATGGATGAAGTTGTTTGGAGGGACTTTTAGTTGAGATAAATATCTTATCGAGGGGTGGATTGTCCATGAAGAGAGCAACCAGGGCGGTTGTGCTAATATAACTTCTACTTCAATTAAGAGATCCTCAAAGTGAACTTCATCTACTTTGTTCTTGGATGGGTATCGTCAAATTCTTTTTTGACCTTAGAACGTGTTAACTTAATCAAATGGAAAAAACTTCTATTTGGTTTGATAAAGAGTTGCAAAAGACAGTTAAAGACATAGTGATTGGTGAAAGTCTTTTCTTCGGAGACCTTCAATGGATGGTGACTTCTTTACATATTAGAGTTAAGGGTATGAGTTTGTACTCGGCAGTAAAGACTCGCTCATAAGTAGGCATGACAATGAGGCAGGTTAGAGACGAGGGCGGTTGTGCTAATATAACTTCTACTTCAATTAAGAGATCCTCAAAGTGAACTTCATCTACTTTGTTCTTGGATGGGTATCGTCAAATTCTTTTTTGACCTTAGAACGTGTTAACTTAATCAAATGGAAAAAACTTCTATTTGGTTTGATAAAGAGTTGCAAAAGACAGTTAAAGACATAGTGATTGGTGAAAGTCTTTTCTTCGGAGACCTTCAATGGATGGTGACTTCTTTACATATTAGAGTTAAGGGTATGAGTTTGTACTCGGCAGTAAAGACTCGCTCATAAGTAGGCATGACAATGAGGCAGGTTAGAGACGAGTTTTACCTCCTCCAAATCCAAACTTGACTCCCTGAAAAATCTCCGTTCCCCGCCCCAAACCCCAACCGGGACGGAGACTTAAAATCCAATTCCGTCCCAAACGGGTTCGAGTTGAGTTTGGATATCTCCACTCCGCCACCATTTCTTTAGTATAATCAATTTTTTTTAATAGAAATATTTATTTGTTCAAAAATCAAATTACATTATAAATAATAATAAAACAATCTAAAAAAATTTCATATACATTTCAAATAATTTAAATAATTAATGCAAATCAAAATATCAAAGCATTGATCACATATTTAATATTTTAAATTATCAAAACTAAATAATATTGTACATAATGAAAGAGGTGGATTCGGAGGCGAGATCGAGGTGGGTACTAGTGTCCCCATTATCTGACTCATTCCATATTTTTTAAATGGCCAAAGTTTTGTCTTGTGGTCATGTCAAAACTTACATCCATGTGTTTACAAAATAAATTTCAAAGCCTGTGTTTACACTAAGCTTTAGGTTTGATTCGCCCCCACCAATTTATGCAAATTGGATGCAAAAGGGTTAACTGACGAATCCCCTTCAGGATACTTTGGAAACCGTAACGTGAATCGCACATTCACACTAAGCATATCGATCAACAATATTTTACAGAATAAAGTTCCACTATTTATTCTTGTGCACTAGAAAAATAAAAGAATGACTTCGATATAATTTTTGGCACTTGAAATAAGTAATTTTTGTGTCTTTTTTATGCCTAACAAGTATCTCTATTTATAGAAAAACTTGTACCAATTGGTGAGGAGAAACAATATTTGATTTCAACATGACCATTCACGAACCATTGTATATCAATAACAACAAACTTTTTCATGAAAAGTTGTGTTAATCTGGTGGTTGCACCTTTTGACAACGCACCCAATCAATATAGGGTCTCTGGTTCTATTCTAAACAATTGCAACCTTTGGCCATTTATTTTGTTAATTTAACCATTATTATTTATCAATTTAATATTTTTTAGAAATTTCTCCAACAATCTCCCACAATTTTCAAAATATATCTAAATCCATTATTCAGGAAATTTTATGGTTTCAGATAAATGTATCTTACGATTTGAACCAATACTTAGTAAGTTAAGTTTTCACTCATCCCCGAATAGATTGGTAGACAAGCTTTGAACCAATTATTCATTAGAACAAGTGTGCATAACTCACACATGAAATCTCGGTACCATTGATCGAATTATTAATATGACACATTTAATAAGGTCTTGTGTCTCATATTCTTTTCATGAGAATTTAAGAGTCAAACCCTTAAAATCTATGAAGCGGCACCACTTCATTCTCATATAGGTAGACTATATCAGAAATGCACCCATAATTATGCATTCCAGCAAACATATGTTATATGTCTATTAAGAGGAAAACCTCATCCTACCACACTTATTCTTACGGTCCAAGTACTTTACTCATTGAGATGTATCTATCATTAAGTACTTCAATCACTCTAATAGTGTACTTTCATCATTGAGCTCAAGACTTAACAATAATTAAGTGTGAGTCGAGTTTCCACTATTGGTGATTAACTAGATATGGGCTTGTTCCACATCCCTAATGATGTCTTCAATGTTATGTCTAAAGACATCATATCTTTGTCAATCCTTTCGTCAAAGAATTGCAATATTTTCAAACTTTAACAAACTTTGAATATTCAATCTTTCAACTACTGTAATTATTTTATTTACTCTTGATAGTATTCACCAACTATCATCAAACTATGACACTTTTTTCATATTTGGTATAATTATTATATATAAAATATATTTATATTCTTGATAGTTTTGATACACTATTACTATGACACTTTTGTCATTCATTTTGCCATATACAATTTTTTATATGTCATTCTTCATTTATTAACCTTTTTAATTGAAGGTTTACTTCCACTTAAATATATTCGAAATATATTTAATTCATTAAACACTTATAGCAATTGACAACCACGATCAAACAAATTTTTCATGACCAACTTTTATTTTATGAAGTGATTTCGAACATGTAATTCATAAACTCCATATAAATATAACACCATAGAATTCATTTTTATTCTTTTAAAATAAACAATTTTCTTGCATAACTAATATGCATAACAAATTTTATGTGATAATTCATGTTTCGTATTTAACAATATTCTATGGTATATCTAAATAAAAATTACAGAACAAAGTAAACAATAAATTCACATCATTAATATTTTCTATAACTTTTCTCCATAAATATTTTTCAAATTACAATAATCTAAAATATACTAAATCTGCTTTTAATATCAAGATGAATAAGAAATAATACTTTCATATTATGATGCACATATAATATGAGATAAATCCTTTTAAATTTAATAAAATCTTGCACCAATGAAATGCCATTTAAGCATCTTCTTGATATTTTAAACATTTTATGCTACCAATACATGCACCATAAATTCAAATTCATGATTTTTTTTCACCAAATCATTTCAATCACAAATAATGCGTTATTAATTAAAATAAATTATGACACCAAATAATGATATTTAGCATGTATATTACATTCAAGTTAATCACATCAACCAAACACGTTCATAATAATTTCATTTTCACATACTT